TAGCAAAGTTGTCTGCAATAGCTAAACTTTTTGAAGCAATTATAACAGACGACACAGCCTTCCGGATCTCTCCACTATTTTCTTGTTCTCAGCACGGTTTTCGTAAAGGGAAATCTACAATAACTAATTTGCTTGAATTTGCATCACATGTATCAACGGGCTTTAGGGAGAATAAGAACACTGATGTTATATACACAGATCTCTTGAATAAACTTGATCTTCTTGGTTTTCAACCAATACTTCTAAAATGGGTTGCTTCTTATCTTAGTAATAGAATTCAACAAGTCATATTTAGCGATACTTTTTCTGACATAATCAATGCTCCTTCCTGTTTTTGTTATTTATTAATGACATATCATCTGTTGTTAAGTTTTCAAAAATTTTATTATATGCTGACGATGTTTAGACCGTTACTTTTAAAATTTCCTAGAACAAATTTTGAGCTAAACGAACCATTCCCATATGTCATGATTTCAATTCTCATTCYAGCACATTCGATCTAACAGACTCACTCTTTACCATTAAAAAAATTATTTTATTTAATCTTAACAAGTAACATTTAAAAATTATAAACTTTAATTTTAATTCTTAACTTTGCTGTTGAAATTTTTGTTTCTGTAGCTGAGCAGCTTGAGATCGCAACGCTTAAARCTGTCTTGCCTTTTATGACTCGCCTATTTCCGCTCGTTCGCGGATTGCGCCCCTCGCGTCGGTTGGGCGGGAGGAGGGTAATCGTTGGGTATTATTATTATTGTGGGCTGCTGGATTCATCGGGCCATATTTCTTTAAAAATAATGATGGTAGAAACGTAACTACCAATGATGACCATTATTGCGCCATGATAACCGACTTTTTGGTCCCCGAAATTGAGGCTATACTTGTTGGCAAGAGTTATTCCGCGTCTTTTTCGAGGCTGATATTGTTGTTGGTGTTAATGCTGGTTCCAATATAGACGAAATTATCTACGTCGCGAGTGGRATGGCTGTTTGTTTGTTGGCAGGAGATATTTCGTCTTGCTCTCGCTTACTACCAGACCCATTTTCTTCGCCTCGTTATCCATTCTGGAAAAAACAGAACTAACAGCGCGGTTGTTGATTCCAATGATGTCAATGTCATCGGCGTACGCCAGTAGATGTACACTCTTATAAAAGATTGTGCCTTCTCGATTATGCTCTGCGGCTCGAATTATTTTTTCCAACACTAGATTAACGAAGTCGCTCGATAGGGAGTCGTCCTGTCTGAAACCTCGTTCGGCATAGAACGGATCGGAGATCGATCCTGACTTAGTTTTTGGTCAGTTTACACAGCCGTATTAGTTTTGCGGGGATAGCAAATTCAGACATAGTGGCATAAATTCATCACGATGTCAAAAGCATATTTGAAATTGACGAAGAGTTGGTGTATGTCGATCCTTTTTTGAGGTTTTTTTTCAAGATTGGCGCATGGTGAACATCTGGACGTTTGTTAATTTTCCAGGCCTAAAGCCACCCTGATGAGGTTAAATCAGTTTGTTGATGTTAGACTTAAAACTTTCACACAGTATGCTCGGTAGAACCTTATATGCGATATGGAACAAGCTTATTTCACGTAAGTTGGCGCAGATTGTGGGGTCTCTCTTTTTGCGGATGGGGTAGAGCATATTTAAATTACAATAGCTCGGCCAGTAATCCATTGGCCCCCTCCGCTTTACTGTTCTTCAGAGGGGTAATTGCTATTCAAACTTATTCATGGTCGGGCAATGGAACGTCTGCACTATCGTAATCGATTGAGGAATCCGGTTCGCCATCTCCTGGTGTTATGCTTTCACTGCCATTCATCAGGCTGGAGAAGTGTTCCCTCCACTTCCACTGATGCTCCGGGCATCAATCATTAGATCACCTCTGGGGTTCTACAATTGTAGATAAATCTTCAACTGTCTACTTAATTTTATTAAAAATAACATATGGGCCAATTTAAACTATATAACTGGCTAAATGAGCCTTAGTCGGCTTCCCCTTCACCACACCTACAACCATCTCTAAGACGCACACTCACCACACTCACCTTGACAGCACCACAGTCCACATCAACACCACCCACACGAGAGTCCAGAATCCACACACTCAAACACACACCACACCATACCAGCGAAAGGATCAGTGTATATTATACGCCGTTTACACAGATCAGTACTG